CCTGGTTGGTGTCACTGACCCGAACTAAATGTCTCCCACCCGGGACTAAAGGTCCCCACGGGTGAATTCAAAAAGAGAGCGCCCAGGACTTTGTCACATGTGGTGTGCAATTGAGTTGGTAAGCAAGCTACGCCCGAGGCATGAGGTCTTTGTTTGAATCTCATACACCGCAAGAGAGATCTTCCCATGATTTATACTATTTTTTTAGCTCCGATGATGGGTTTTAGTCTCGGTTGCGTGACCCAGATTAAAGGTCCCGGCCTTTAGTCCCGGATCCGCAATCCCGGTTGGGAAACCGGGACTAAAAGCCAGGGATTGAAACCCACCAGTGTACTAGTGTGAGTAAATAATTAACGCTTATTGGGTGCCCATAGAGAAGACGTATAAAAGTCTGGATGGTTGGAAGGGCAGCTCTTTGAGTCGGGTGGTAGACTGGTGTTGATTAACTCCTGTTTGAGTAATCTACCAATCTATGCTATGTCTATGTACCTGAAGATGGATATTGCTAGGAAGAGATTCTTATGGCAGGGAGGCACCTTGAAGAGAAAGTATCATTTGGTTAAATGGACTAGGATCACTAAACCAAAAGGCAAGGGGGTTTATTAGGGATCAAAGACCTTAGGAAAATGAATATTAGCTTACTCTTTAAGTGGTGGTGGAAAGCTGAGAATGGCAAGATATTGTTCATAAGAAATACCTGAAAAAGGGTAGCATAACTCATGTTAAGAGGAGCAACAAAAATTCCCCTCTGTGGAATGATTTGCTGAAAGCTAGACAGATCTACTTGAGAGGTCGTGATTTTTTTTTAATTTTAACACTTTTTAAAAACTAATTTTAAATCTAACACCTCCGCTTTTTTTAAACTAACACTTTTGGTCGCTCCTATTTCCCTGGCGCGGTCAAATGCCTGTGTCACGTCATGCATGATGGCGCGGCACATGGTCGACGATATGGCGCGATCAGAGCGGTGACGATCACGACAGGCGAGGGCTCGCCGCGCCAGCGATCTTAAGCAGCGGTTGCCGCCTGTGGGTCATGGCGGCGTCTGGGCCAAATAAAAACCCTGACTGCTCATTATGCCTACTGAGCAAAGAAGCTCCCATTGCGCTACCGCCGCCAACCCGGCGGTACCTAGACGGTTTAATCGGAACGCGTCGCGCCGATGGTGAGAGTTATTGTAAGTATTGTTTGACTTAAAATAAATAGTGAATTTGTTTTTATATTTTGTTAAATTTTTTCAAGGCCGAATAGAGAAATTGATAAGGCAATTGATATTTTTTCCGTCTTTCATAATACGGTTAACCACCATGTTAACTAATCGATTACGAAAAATTGGATCGGATTGAAACGAATATTTTTAAAGGGAACAAATTTGCCTTTTTGGCCCCATATTGTAGGATCGGCGGCGACGTGACCATGGACCCCGGCTTCCTCGACCCCTCGCGTAAGACACCGGCCACCGGTGTCGAGATACCCCGGGATTGCCTTTTTTTGAACTAGTTGCTACTTAATCTCGTAAGCAGTGATGTCGCGACGCATTGAAACGAATATGAAGCAACAAGCTGCCACATAAGTTTGACTTAAGTTTGACATACCATAACCAAATAAGCCTACAAGTTTTGTACCCTAATAATAGTTGGACCTAACAAACTAAGACCCAGGAGCGTAAGGATTCCTCGAACGCCTCTGTCTCTTCGGATTTGTTGGCAACACATTGGGAGTGTAGCCAACGTCGGTGTGGTCACGTCGCCGGTGCGTATGGCTCGTACCCTGCAAGTATGTGATATGCACGATTACTTAGAATTCTTTGTGATCGTTAGTTCATGTAGCCTACGTATTTAAAGAAACTACCTTTGTTAGTACCTGTGATGCTCCTTGGGTGCCAAGCGGGGCACCACCTAGCTGAGACATGCCGATCTCGTCCTGCGGCCAATCTTCCCACTCGTCATCGTCGTCATCGTCGTCCTCGTCGTCCTCGATTGCAGGGTCCTTCCCAGCGCTATAATGAGGTGGTGTACGCACTACGGAAGTGGCACCTGTCACCGGCTGAGAAGAGTCGGCTGGCGTCCTCAAAGAGGCTGAAGACGTACCACCCGACCGCGCTGGGAGTGGCGGTTCCTCGTAAGGAGTGTCCATGCAGCTCAACTTTTGAGCTAGCTTCCTGCAGCTCTTCTTCACCTTCTGCATAAATAGCCGTTAAAGCTAACGTATTTCACAAACGCATATACACTAAAGAAACAATTTCGGAATGGACTAGTTTATGTTTACCTCCACAAAAGCCTCAAGAACGCTTTGCCCCTGCCCTCTAGACTCGTGAAGCCGGTACGCTGCTTCGTTGGACAGCCTCGACAATTGTGTCGCCTGGGTTCAGAAACGCGGTTGAACAGTTTTAGTATACATAATTAATACCAAATGGATAACAAATTGTACCATTCAAGTATCTTACCACGTATCTTTGTAGCGGGGCTCTCTGTAGCTGTGTGTCCTCTCTAGTGGCAACGTCGTACACATCTTTGATCATATCTTCCTCCGAGTCCTCGTCAATCGCCTCCTCAGTGTACGGGGGCTTGATATGTGTCCTCGTAGACCTGTGAAGCCAGCACAGGTACTCGTCGAAGGTGTGCTGGTCGTGTGGAGGACCCACATGGACCGGTTGACATTCCCTGGTCTCGCACGAGTAGATGTGCACGTTGTGTCACGTGCCAATCCTTGGTCTTGTACCTCTTCCTGCGGTCAAACCTGCAACAAAACGATGTTAGTTCTACCACACACACCTCTGGATTGTAGCTCTGTTATTTATTCGATAACGCACCCGTGCAATCCTTGGTTGGTGGAGTAAAGCGGTGGTGGGCAGCCTGTCATTCTTCCAAACTGTCTGCATACCCTGACGGGCAAGTGAATCTCGACCACGTGGAAGAAAATAAGAGGGACGTTGCAGCGATACTCCTCTGACTCGTTCCTAGTGACAGGACTGAGATATTTCTGGAACTCCGGAGCATCCCAAGGACACCAATGCACCTGAATATTTCGTAATTGAGTTAGGTTGTGATATAGTATAGATCGAACAAGACACATGTATGATAGTAAAAAGAGCGTAACCTGGTGCTATGTTAGGATGTCGAGACCGTCCGTGTACTCCCTGTACTTGCACCTCGCATTCCCTCTAACCAACTCTGATTCCGTCCAAATAAACAGAGATGTAGGGAGTGTATCCTGCCCGTTCTATTGCTGCATTGAACACGATAATGAATTAGCCATTAATAAACTCATCATATGTAACCATATCGAAGAATATAATGAACCCAAGTACTTACCGGTAAACCCATATTAAGGGGTCTTCCAACGGGCCATCGTTCCCAACACCAAACCTGGATTAGGTACGAGCAACCCCCAAGGTTCGCATACCCTGAGGTGCGACGACAGGCAACGCATAGCTGTCGATACGTCCATGCCAGGACAGTGCTGCCCCAGCTGTACGCCGCTATGTTCTCCCACGGCTGGCGTAATATGTCAAGAAAGATCCAGCTGATGGTGTTGCCCGAGGCGTCTGAAAATAGGAAAGCACCAAGAAAGTGCCAGAGCCACACTCGAGCGAACCTATCGATCTGAGCCTCCTCAGCCTGTGGGTCCAAGTAATCAAAGCGCCCCGTGATCTAGGACGACGAAACACCAGAAGTTTTCCTAAAATTTACCAAAGAAAATGAGACCCCCTGGTTGAAGGAAACCGATGCAAATATTAAATAGACTTGAATTTCTCACTTATTTTTCTTGGAAGCCTCGTTGTCCAGTGGAAGAAAGCCAGTAAACTGAGCCAGCAGCTCCCTCCAGTGATCGTTGTCAACTATCTCTGTCACTGGAAGTCCCCCCAACTGAAGGCCTAAAATAGCCTTCATGTCCTGCAACGTCAAGGTCATCTCGCCACAAGGTAGGTGGAACGTGTGGGTCTCAGGCCTCCACCTATTATAAGAATAGAATAGAGTGACTGTTAGTTGCCTCAAATTTATTACAAGAAAGTTTACGTACAAAGAATGAACTCGCACCTGTCTACAGCTGCAGTAAGTAGTGCTGGGTCGAGGGGCGGAAGACCGTGGTTGACAACACGAACAAGCTCGAGGAAGCTGGCACGCCGTATGTACGGCGCGTAACGCTCGTCCCACTGGTGCGCCCTGGTGTGCAGGCGGGGCGTCAAAGGAGGCAAGGCCACCTCTGCGCCGTTGTCACTCAAGATGTGTGCTCGGTGCTGGTCGTCGTACTCCACCTCAAGAATGGGGTACAACGGGTGCTGCGTGGGATGGGTCATCCTGTTACAAATTGATAAACAAAGCGTTAGAGTACTCAAATTAACAAAATTCAAATTAACATTATATAGCATTGCAAAGTAAAATATTTACTCTAACCCAAAAATAAATCGGCACAAGGTTAGGATAAACAAGCGCGCAAAAGAGGTAAAGCCCGATGGTCATGTGCTAAGGACGTGGATAGAGGCTAGAGATCGTAGTACGACAAAGCCAACTAAGAAGCGAGGGAGCCAGTTACGCTCAGCGTTACGGCCACGGCGGGATGAACCCACGATCGAAACGTTTGAATGGAATACGATCCCTCGACCGGCTCGCTACAATCCCTAACTAAATAACTAACTATAAACTAAATAATAACCGGATCTAGCAGTGACAACCGCATCGCTACAATCCCTAACTAAATAAATAACTACAAGCTAAATAATAAATACCTAATCAATCACTAAACCCAAAATCCTAACCTAAAACCTAAAAACTACATATGTATATCATAAACTAATTATCCTAAAACAATAATAATCATAATAACATTAAACCGAGAGGAAGGTACCTTAGCAAAGCGGCCTTGACGCTGGGGTTAAATGGTGGGGCGGCGGAAAAGGGAGTGTCGCGAGGGCTTGAAGGCAAGGCCGGCAGGAGTGGCCGTGGCGCTGGCGGCGAGGTCATGGGGGCGGGCGTGGCGTGGGCTGGGTGGGCGCGGCGATGGGCATGGGCGCGGGCGCTGGGTGGCGGCCGGTGGGTGGTAGCTGGTGGGCGGGGAAGGCTGCTGGGTTTTATTTGCCGGGGCGCCATGACCTGGGTTTTATTTGGCCTAGGCTAAGATCGCCATGCTGGCAGACCTCGCGGCGGCTCGGCCCCCTCGCGGTCGTGATCGTCGTTGCTGGTCGCGCCACCATGCATGGCCAGCAGCAGCATTTGGCCGCGCCAGGGAAATAGGCGCGGCCAAAAGTGTTATTTTTTAAAAAAAAATCGAAGGTGTTAGATTTAAAATTAGTTTTCAAAAAGTGTTAAAATTAAAAAAAATCAGAGGTCGTAGGTCCATGGTGACAGGCAATGGGAAAGCTACTAGCTTCTGGCATGATAGATGGTGTGGGCAGGTGTCGTTAGCAGACAAATTTCCCCAATTGTATGCTATCAGTGAGGAACAGGAATGTTCTGTGGCTATCATGACACAAAAGAACTGGCGCCTCACCTTTAGGAGGTGGCTGCATGAGGAGCTGCAAAGTCAATTGAGAAGATTGCAAGACATTGTGCACAGGTTCAATGTTAATCAGGTGAAAGATAGAGCCAGCTGGGACTGGTAAAAATCAGGGGTGTTTACTGTGAAATCAACCTACACTCAACTCTGTAAGAATGAATTTGGATATAATTTCAAGAAGATCTGGAAAGCCAAAATCCTGTTAAAAGTCAAAGGCTTCGTGTGGCTGCTTTCTACAGGATGCTATACTCAATAAGGACAATTTGTTAAAACGAAGATGGATAGGGAAGTGTGAGGGTGTTGTGTTTGTACGGCCTGCACGCTGTTCTGGGCAGGTGCGCTATATCGAACGCTTGATGTGTCTACGGGGTTTTTTTTGGTAGCTTCAATGTCACCGTTTTTGGTTTGGTAGTAGTGTCTGATCATGGGATGGATCCCTGGGTGATCAATTCCATGGTCGCTTTGATGTTCAGGTGGCGGCGTTTCATATACTCGTTAAACTGTGGAACCATGTAATTTTGTTACATCGGTAATGAAATTCGGCTTTGGATGTTGTGAAAAAATAAATAAAGTTTTAGATATCAAGCTGTATGATTTTTATATAAATTTTTATCTCCAAAACGAGGATCATACTTTTTAAGGTATGTTGTCCAGCAATAAGAAATTCCGTCGTTTGAATCGGCTAATTCCACCTGTTTACTTACTATAAGTTAATATCACCATATTAATTGAATTCGGTGATGTTTAAACGCGGCAGTCCGGACGGACGAACGCCCCGTCCCAAGAATGCGTGTGCTTCACTCCTTTGCATGCTGCCGCCGTTACCTCCATCCGTGCTCTCTGTCTTCGCTACAGCCCAGCCCCACGCCCACCCCATCCTCTGCGCCACCGTTGTCATCCCCACCCGTTCTCTACGTTGCCACTGCACCCACACCCACCCTTTTGTGCCATCGCTGCTGCGCCTACCCGTGCCTTTGCGCCAACGCCATCCATGCTGCCCCCACCCCGCCCTCTGTGCGCCGCCGGCGAGCTCTACACCGACGACCTCCACGTCACAACGAACCTCCATATGTGAAGTAGCAAGCAAATGCTGCACTGAAAGCGCATATTGCAAACATATGTTTCAAGTGTTTTAGGTGTTTTAGAGGTATATTGCAATTATTTTATATTGATGCTGTAAAAGTAGATCGCGATGTTGCACATGGCTATGCACGTATGTTTCAAGTATATCTTTCAAATGTTTCATCAGTTTCAAATGTATGTTGCAAGTGTTTCATCTGGATGTTGCAAAAGTAGATCTGAAAGTTGCATATACTGCTGACCCCACCCCGCCCTCTGTGCGCCGCCGGCGAGCTCTACACCGGTGACCTTCACGCGCCAATGAGCCTCCATTTGCCGATGCAACAAGCCGATGTTGCGCTGAAAGCGCACGTTGTAAATGTATATTTCAAGTGTTTCAGAAGTATATTGTAATTGTTTTTATATCGATGTTAGAAAATAGATCGGGATGTTGCAAAAGTATATCAAGATGTTATACATGTTGCAATGGCTATGCACGTATGTTTCAAGTGTATGTTCTAAATGTTTCATCAGTTTTAAACGTATGTTGCAAGTGTTTCTTCTGGATGTTGCAAAAGTAGATCTAAAAGTTACATATACATGCATGTTGCAAGCGTATGTTCAAGTGTTTCGGGTGTTTCATACGCATGTTGAAAGTGTTTTATCTTGATGTTACGTATGTTTGCAATGGCTACACACGTGTTTTTAAGTTTTTTCTAGTGTTTGCAAGTGTTCCAGACGTATGTTGCAAGTGTTTTAGCTGTTCGGACATATGTTGCAAGTGTTTCATCTGGATATTGCAAAAGTAGATCTAGTGTTGCAAATATTGCAATGAGACCCACATGCCGTAGCCGCCTGCTGTAGCTATTGGGGCGCCGCCGAGCGGGCACGGTCCTGCGTGCATGCACATAGGAAATGGAGGGGGCGCGAGCAGTCCTCACGTGCGATCAAGCGACGCCCGAGCGGCGCGGGCCCTGCATGGGTGTGGCCACGGTACCATCCAACAGGTATCCGATCGGACGTCCGGACGCTTGGTTGGTTACGGGAGTATAAATATACTCATCGTTTGTTGCAATATTTTTCAATTTTTTCAAAAGAAAAACAAATTTAAAAATATAAAAATGGAAATTCTTCAGCATATCCTGTAATCGAGTCAAACCCGACCCATGTACTTCAGGCAATTGGCCCAGCCCATAAGCGCAGCCGCAGCGGAGGAGGCCGACCGAGGCACCGAGCTTCTTGTTTAGCCGCCCCTGGCCCGCCGTCCGGCGCCTCCAACACCCTCCGGTCAGCTGACCAAGGACGTCGCCGTCCCGCACCCCGCACGCGGCGCTTCTCGCGATCTCGCTTCCCGATTACCATTCCTGCGTTCCAATCCGCTGGCGGCGGCGGCGGCAGCGGCGGCGGACCGGCAGCTCTCTTCTCGGCTTGGCTTGGGCGGTTGCTGCCGCGCAGCGCACAGAGGGTAGCGGCCAGAGGCTGGGCGGCCCGCGGCCGGGGCAGGTCCGCAGCAGGCCAGCAGCCAGGGGCATCGTCGCTCTCGCACCCACTGAGGCCGGCGCGGCCACGAGTCTGCGCTGACTTCCGACCGTCGTGCGCCGGCCGAGCCGCCGCGGTGAGCCTCCTCTATCCTCTCTCCGCGTCTCCTGTTTACGATCTCCAGTCTCGTTCCGCACACAGTGATTCAGTGATTGTAGTTTTGTTCTACTATATGTACTGAGATAGTGAAATAGAAACATCAAACATTGATGTACAACAGCACAGTACGGAGTATATTAAGGTCAGTAAAATGAAATTTGTTGAATTTGGTACGGGTGCCTAGAGTTTATGTACAGCAGTGCAGTAGCAACGCAGAGTTTATTCTTTGGATCACTGAGATATAATTTGTCCATGTGCTAGAGCAAAGTTCAAGAAGGCGCTGACCATAGACCACCTAGGCATTTCAAGACGTTTTTCTAGGCGTTTTGCTAATTTAGTACATAATATATATATATTATATATAGCAGAAAATGCTGAATAAATTAGTTAAATAGAAGCATAGAGTAGCTGAATACAGTATATAAAAGAGAGGGCAGTAGACATACCTTAGTGGCTTAGGCTCAATAATCAATAGACAGTTTGTTCCTAGTTCCTACAGTAAGGATTGACAACTTGTAAATACTCAATAGACAGCAAGCAGTTCATCAAAAAAATAGAAAATAGCAAGTTGACACTTATCTAAATGATTTCAACCATCTCTCATCCATGAACAGACTATATCAGCAGCTAGTAATTACAAATTTTAAAGCACAAATAAGTGGACAGGACAGCAGTATAAGTGCACAATACAATTCATAAATAAAGGTCTTGTTCAGAGAGCACATAGTTCTCACAAAAGAAGAAAAACACAGTCACACATCAGTAGTTCATAAGTTTAAGACATACATGAATGCATCATAAAAGATAAACCATGACATGATAAAAAGGTCCTACTACCATATCATCTTTCTTCTTCAATAGAGTTCCACATAATCATCCTCATCTTCATCAAACTGTTCTTCTTCGTAGTTAAATTCTTCTCCTTCATAAAGCTGTCTCACTCTTGCACTTCTACGCAGCTCAAGTTGTTCTTCTGCTCCCACTGCATCTCCAGTAACAGACCAAGGTATCCCTATACCTTCCATCTCATCTTCCTCATCTCTATAGACAATTAATGCACAATCATCTCCATTCTCATGCAGAAAACATTGAGCTTCAGTTGTATCATTAGACAAGAGAACATCACTGATCTTCTTTGACTTGATATTTTCTTTCTTATTAATCAGCTTGGAGTTGAATTGAATATAGACTAATTTGTTGAGGCGGGCTGTAGTAAGCCTATTTTTCTTCTTAGTGTGTACCTATAAATTAAAAATAAGATCATTTTTAGGTCTGCAATTTAATTGTAATGCTGCTGAAATGTTGACACTAGATAGGTACTAACCCCTTCAAACCTGCTCTAATTTCTTTCACAACCAGGAGAGCTTGATGTCAAAGATAGAATCCTTGTAGCCATCTTCTGTAAAGCTGGTGTTTCAGTTTCATACAGCAGCCACCATGATGCTGAAATAAATGAAAAACACCTCTATTTGGGGATGAAAACGATACGGATATTTTCCGACCGTATTCGAGTCCGAATCCGTTTAGAGGGGTTTAGATCTGTCCGTATCCGAGTCCGGATATTCAACATCCGATACCGTATCCGTATCCGTATCCGAATACTCAAATCACATATTTATGATGTCGACATCTAATCGTATCCTATCCGGCATGACTGATACTATCCGTATTCGAATCCGAATCCGACTAGAAATGTGAAAACAAATATAATATCAGTGATATCCGTTCGTATCCGATCCGTTTTCATCCCTACCTCTATTAGTTAGTAGTTACAACAAATTTATTGTTAGATGAAAACAACAATCAACCATGTAATAACAAGTACCTCTACCTGAGTTGTAATCAAAGTTTTCAAAAGTCCTTGCAAGCTTCTTATTAAATGGTCCTTCTCTATTCTGAAACTTTTTCAGTTCAATGTTGGCAGCCTGATCTTGCTTATCCTTATCATGATAATAAAAGTCTCCACACAACTGATAAATCCTTCTGTTATTGTGGGCTCATCAAAGATTGATGGGTTACTATAACTATAGTGTGGATTCAGCAAATAAGCTGCCAAATGCAATGAAGAATCAAGTCTTCCTTTTATCTTCTTGTCAATAACAACAATTACCTCCTTGAACCGGGACTCATTATTGCCGAAGGCCTCTTTGATCTCTCTCTTTGCCTTTAGTAGTTCTCCATAAACGAAACCCATGGATGGCTTCACATCCCCATCAACTAAACGGAGAACTTTGACCAATGGCTAAAAAATAGTCAATGTTAGCTTGACATCCTTCCAAAAGGTTGGATTCAATATAATTGCTGTGTCATCTTTTCCTTTCTTTGATTTCACATCCTTCAATGAGTCCCACCTACTATGAACCACCATCGTTCTTAACTAGTCCTTCTTCTCTTGTATGCTGTTCAAAGTGAGAAAGGTTGAAGCAAACCTAGTCACTCCGGCCTTATTATCTCTTTCCCCTCTGTGAAGTATCTCAAGCACTCCAATGTTCTTGTGTGCCCATAGACAAATATGGTGAATGCCTTTGCTTGGTCAATCACCTTCTTGAACCGAGCCATGTTACCAATTACTTGGAGCATCAAGTTGATTGTGTGTGTTGCACAAGAGGTCCAAAATATCTGTGGTCTCTTCTTAAGCAATAGCTTCTTTGCTCCCATGTTGTTAGAGGCATTGTCTGTCACTACTTGCACCACATTATCTGGACCAATGTCTTCAATTGCTTTGTCCACTAGTTCAAAGATGACTTCACTTGTGTGTGACACATCTGACATCTCTTTTGAGCTGATAAAACTGGTTCCATCAGCACAATTAGTGCACAGGTTCATTATGCTTCTCCTCTTCCTATCTGACCAAGCATCAGTCATAATAGAGCACCCATTCTTCATCCTCTCGGCTTCATGTTCTTGCAGCAAACTCTTGGTTCTTGCATATTCTTCTTCCAACAATCTCTCTCGCAGATCATACTGAGTTGGAGGTTCAAGTCCAGCCCCAAATTGTCCAATTGCTTCACACATTTGCTTGAACTCATCATTGTCACATGCATTGAATGGTATTGCTGCCAATGTTACAAAAAAAAGAAGGTTAATTAGTGTTCAGTACAGCCATAATAGCATCTACTGAATTCTGAAATATAAATACATAATAGGAAATTACCATGTGTATAGACCCATCTTGCAATATATTTATGCACCTCATATGTTCTTTCTTTCCAAAGTTCCTTGTTCAGCTTCTGTTGAGTCAAAGATTCGGATTTGGTTGCTTTAGGATCAATAGCACGTGTCCATTTGTCAATGGGTTCTAATTTGTGAAGCTTAGAACTTCCAATACAAGTGATTTCCTCTAACTCTCCACCTCCAACCTGAGAAACATTCACTTCCTCTCTAAGTTCTAGCTCACGAACAGTCTTCTCCTCCCTCATCCTTTTTGCATCATTTAGTGCTTTCTTGCACTTCTCTTTAGCCTCCAGAGCCTCCGGTGTTCTGGCCTTACATTTCGTCGCATTCTTTCCTTCATGGGCCACATGCTACTTCAACCGATAAATCCCTCCTTGCATCACCTTGTCACAGAGTTTGCACTTCACCTTGTCCTTGTTGTTAGCATCAACAAGAACCCCATGTTCCCATCCCACATCATCCGAATTCCTTCTCAGGAGATTCGCTCCCTCAGTTTCAGTTTCAGGTGCAGGTAAAGCTTATGTTGTCGACATCCTACATTCAAGAGTTCAGAGCATACATTTAGGTTTTAGAGTTCAGTGAGCAAACATTTAGATTTCAGTGACCTATACATTCAGTCGATCGAAATCGATACTACATTCAGTCAATCAATAATACATTCAGGCAATCACAGAATATATTCAGGCAATCCCAAAAGACAGATTCAGTATCCATCCATTCATTCATTATTCACAGAATATATTCAGTATCCATCCATTCATTCAGTATTCACTTGAATCGCTTCAGTCATTCAGATTTAGTATGCAGGGGAGAGGAGCAGGGGAGGGGAGCTTCGGGCAGGGGAGAGGAGCAGGGGGACTGACCTTGGGGGCTGGGGCGGGAGGGGTGCGCCGGTGGGGACGAGCTTCCAGGCGGGGACGAGCACGACCGGCGGGACCTGCGGGGAGGAGGTCCTCTGGCGGGAGGAGCGCGTCCGGCGGGGAGGAGCAAATGGCAGGCGGGAAGTGCGTCCTCTCCCTCTTATCCTTCCCAGCCTGTTTTCGCGCGGCCGAAGCCAGCTGCGCGCGCGCTCGCCCGCGGCGTCCGCCTCGGCGCGAAAAGTCTTCGCGCGCTCGCCCGCTGCGGCAATTTTTCGCGCGCTCGCCCTCTGCGTCCGCCTCCGCGCCGCCTAATCACGCCTAGTGCCTAGATATCCGCCTACCCCCATAGGCCAGGCGGGCACCCATCGACTAGCGACTAGTCGCGCCTAGGCGGAGCCAAGGCGTCGCCTTTTTGAACTTTGTGCTAGAGTACGTACAATACAGAGTTGTTTCGAAGTGGATGAAGTTGAAACACTCAATGCTTTCATGTCCGTTAGAAGGCATAGGCCAAACAAGAAGTAATATTGTAGATAGATGTGTAAACTTCGTGTTTCACGCTCTGCTACTTCAATGCAGATGGGTCTCGACGCCGTGGCGACTGCCTTCTACGCCTTTCCAGTACTTATCTCTGTGCTCACAGTCCGCTTCTTCTATGTGCTGTGGCACAGTGGCCAACCAGCGTCGAAGCCGCGCGCCACTGGATTGCGTTGTCTCATAGTCCTTGGCTCCGGTGAGTACGTATTGCGGTCTTTCCCGTCAAATACCTTATGGACAAGTCTTGGATACGGTTGCCTGGTATATTAAACAGTACTAAGGTTTAAGAGCATGCGTGGGTACCAAGATGTGGTTATACTGAATAATTGTTGGTAACTGCAAGTTCATATGCGAGTTTATTTTCTTCTATGGTAATGAAAGCTGAAAGCACAACCCTTGGTCTCCATATATGGATTTGCCTTTTCACTGACTTAATCATGATAGACTGTCACAAAGAGATCGTGGGACAAAATCTTGTTTCGTCCAGAAACATTGTTGTTCTGCTCCCAATCAACCGTAACATTTGTGCCGCAGCAGTTCTGCTTCCTAGAGGGGCATTGTCACAATTCATACAAACATGGTGTATGTTTAAACTCAGTTTCTATATATGTTTCCATGTGCAAAGTTCATAAGACAGATCGAACTAAAGATGTTTGTTAACTAATAAGATAGCTTATGTATGGTGTTTAGTTACAACACTAGGAATCATCGTGCTCCTTGTGCAACTCTGACGACCCCTGAACTGAGTTAGGAGTCTCCTTTTTGTGGCATCTGCTAGACATTTTTCAGCTCCAGCTTCTATTCTAAACAGGGCACATTTTTTTATATTCTTTTTTGCACTTTGGTTGACTTCCTTCAGTGGTTGGCAATTTGCTAATGTCGCAATATCTTGTCTTAGTCACATATTCATTCTCGCCCTATTTAGCATGTATTGGCTTGTTTAATAGTGGTATTAAAACTGCCGGGATTTTATCATTTTACAATTTACAATTACAAAGCACACTTGTATCTCTTTGTAAAAAGTATATTTATGCTTTTCTCTTGGCTTTTCTTTTTCCCATTGGGAAATTCTATTCACATTGGATTACTATCAAATAGCACATCACTAGCATTATTACTATTTTACTGGACTCTTGTTCACACTCTTGCTAGAACATTTGGTCGTTTCTTTGAGTTATCAAGTGTCGAAGTTGTAAGATATGTAGCTTGATGAAACATGTATTATTTTGTGTTTTGGTTGTTAGGAGGGCATACTGCAGAAATGATGAATATTGTAACAACGCTTCAGAAGGATAGGTTCACACCTAGATACTATGTGGCTGCACTTACTGACAACATGAGTCTTCAAAAGGCACAGGTCTATGAACAGTCACTTATTCAGGTGGAGGTCAATTATTATGTTGCATTGAACCAATTATATGCTGGGAACTTGCTAAACTATTTAGAATATAGAATATGATTATATTTAGTGCCGTTTCAGGGTGATGGAATGAAGACTGCCGAGAATGCTCATTTCTTGCAGATATACCGTAGTCGTGAAGTAGGCCAATCTTATATTACATCCATCGCAACAACATTGCTAGCCACATTGCATGCTATGTGGCTAGTAATAAGAATCAGACCACAAGTGGTGTGTACCTAGTTCAAACTATGGTAGCTATTTGCAGCATGAGTTTAAATACTAAAGCTTTGTAATACTCCCCCAGATATTTTGTAATGGTCCAGGGACATGCTTTCCTCTATGTATCTCAGCATTCCTTCTGAAGGTAGCCCTCACACCCTAGCTTCTATGCTTGCTTACTTGATGCAGTATGAGCCTTGTGCGATTGATCTTGGAGAATAAATGGATAATATTGCCATTGATCATACTTGCGATTTCTAATTTCTTCGCCCCAAGTTTCAAGTTGATGCCGTATTTTCTAGTATCTAACTGGTTTAGGATTGCTGTCTTTCTGTAGGTGATTGGTTTGGGATGGTCCTCCATTTTCTACATTGAAAGCATTGCAAGGGTGAAGAAGCTATCATTGAGCGGTTTACTGTTGTACAAGCTACGGATAGCTGACCAGTTCTTTGTGCAGTGGCCCCAGCTAAAGCATAAGTATCCTCGAGCATGCGATGCAGGTCGTTTGATGTGAAGGCTTGACCATATCTGACATTGGGATAACGTATTTTCCAACTCAGAGTTTCAGAATACGATGACAATCTATGTACACTTTAACAAATACATTTGTGGTGGCCTTAAAAAGAAAGGCTTCACAAACACTCACATTTCAGATTCATATATGCGGGCATGGAAATGCAAGTTACTTGCATATAGTCTTTCTGAATGTAAGAGGATCAGAGCGGGCTTATCACAGTATTTGCAAATTTCTCTAAAATTTAGTGCTGTTCATAGATGCAATGCAACAGCCAAAATGATTCCTGTTAAGAGCTACTTTGGTCATTACTCATGAGTCATGAATCAGACAATGGCTGGCATAGTATTGGCTACCATGAGAACACTGTTGTTAGCTTGTGCAGGTCCGAATTTGGTATCCGCTTAACGAAGCATTTCTTCCTAGTTACTAATCGTTTGATTGCTTGAAGCTTAATATGTCATGGCTGGCATAGTATTGGCTAGCAAAGAGATTTCATGAGAGTTGCAACAGCTGAGACTCTCGTGTAAACAGAGGGAGAGACATCTGACAGGTGGACCAACAAAACGGTGGCCACACGTTTCAGTGGACGCCTGATACACGAACACGCCTCACCGCCCGGGCTCGCTCGGTCGCCGGCTCCAGTGTTCCTCCCCGCCCCTCTCATCCGTCATCTTCTCCGGCGACGGTTGATTGGGGTCCGCACAAGAGGTGAGCAAGCAATCGACTCTCAATGCCCCCCAAATCCCAGCGATAAATAACCGTAGTGAATCCATTCGGGTCCCGATGGTAACCAGGCGCCGCCGCATGAATCGCAGGTTCCGCTGCACCTCTTCCGTCGAGATGGAGGAAGGGAGCCGCCGGGCGGCAGCGGCCGTCCTCCCGGTCCCGGACGAGCTCATCGTCGAGATCCTCGCGCGGTTGCCGGCCAAGTCGCTCTGCCTCTGCAAGTGCGTCTCGCGGGCCTGGCGCGCCTTCATCTCCGATCCGGCCAACCGACGCAGGTTCGCGCAGACGCTGTCGGGCCTCTTCTTCTCCCGTCCCTACGGCAGCCGCCCGACCTGGGACTTCATCGGCTTGTCTATGTCCTCGGTTTTGCCTCCGCCTCCCGGGGTTGATACGGCTCTCTCCTTCCTGCCCCCCACCTGTGAGCTGCTGGACTCTTGCAACGGGTTGCTCCTCTAGCGGACCGAGGAATATTGGCAACGACATTCACCACCACCCTTCTACGTCTTGTGCAATCCAGCCACCTGGGGGAGTGGGTTACCTTACCCCAACCAAGCCGCGTCCCGGGTCAGGTTGGCTATTCTGACGGTGTCAGTCCACCCATAGGGCGTGTTTGGGACCGCGGTTACCCACCGCACGGTGCGATACGTGTATCGCGGCGCGAGGGCCGCAGTGCCGAAAATGCAGGCGCTAGTTCATTTGTGAAGTTTCGATGCCGTGTGCGAGGAAAACAATCATCGCACCGTGGGAGCGTTTGGCGCGATTCTCGGATTATTTTCACCTCCGCCGCAAGAAACGCGGTCCCAAACACGCCCATAGACACCAGCACAGCAGAACTAGGCTTCGATCCGTCCATCTCCCCGCATTTCCATGTGTTTCAGCTGGTGCAGGAGTTGGATCATTACGAATTCATCGTCTGGGCAGTGGAGATATACTCGTCCCAAACGGGAAGATGGGTTCTCAGAGAAGCCCCATACATACAAGATGTCCAATACATGGGCCAAATGACCTATTTCAAAGGCTTCCTGCATTTCTGCATGATTTGCAATTTAGTCGTGTCGGTGAACACAGTGGGCCAGACATGGAGGATCTCCCGAGTGAGGGAAAATGGTTGTGGCTCTGGTTCTGTCTGTCATTCTCAGGGCCGCTTACTTTATGTTGATAGCAATCTTGACTCAAGTGATGCCATGTCAATCTATGTTCTTGAGGATCATGACAGTGAGGAGTGGATATGGATCTTTAAACAAAGCATCAACAAGCCAGATCTATTTGGACCAAGAATGCCAGGAAGGGTATGGGACTACTGCACAGCTGCGTTTCATCCAGACAGCGATTTGATCTTCTTCTATGATTGGTTAAAGAAAAGACTGGTGTCCTATGATATGAAACACAGGGTTGTGCATGTTATCTGTACTCTAGAAGTGCCCTATTTTGAGTTTCTACCAACAGAAGATGTGCATCGTAAATTTTTCCCATATGTTCTGTTGTACTCAGGGGCATTACCATCATCTAGTCTCAGCTAGAAATGCTCATGACATTCAATACAAGGTCCAAATTTGGCATTGATTTCTTCAGAAGGAGCTGGTAAACTAAATTATTTTAGGGAGTTTCATGATGGAGGAACCACTTGTTGTTGCGATTAGCTTTGTTTGGTGATTCAAGAGGGTTTCGGTGCTGTTGAGATGGAAATATGTTTGTGTCAATCTGCCATCCACAATTTATATGAGCTGCTATCAATGCTTTGGTCAATTAGCTGGCTACATCAGGCAATATCAGTGATGCATGCATCATCTTCGCAGACATGTGCTTCCGAAGCTTCTTGACAAGAAGATTGAAATTTCAAGCATTGGTTTCAGCAGCATGGCAGATGAGGCCTTCGTGCCTTTGAACCATGCTGGCAATATATCCTATCTTCTATTTACTATGTTGGATGGGTACAAGTCTTAGACGTTACTAGTAATTCTGGATGTAATGAATTGGAAAGTAGACTACCTGTTAAGAGTCTTTATGTTTTCTTGTTTATCTGCCTTTGTTATTCCACTTGTTTGGTGCTGTATAATTCCTAATTTAGTAACTATTCTGAGTGCACTTGGAGCAACTTGTTATTATATTTGTGGCAATGCAATGTGTGGTTTTATTATGATGTACCTGCATTTTTTTGTTGCTAACCGCAGAAATTGGTCAAATTTCTTAGCTATTTGAAATTTGATCTATACGGGTCTGGTGGTGATACCATTGTCTGGTTGTTTTGCAAACAGTGAGGCATGCTAGCGTTTTGGCTTTAACAAACAGCAATGGCCAATTATGGATATGGCTGGCATTTGAAAGTGTGGTTACTTCAGGGAATCTCATTGAAGAAACCACTTACTGATAGCTTTCGCTAATTAACCATTGACTGGCATGATGAAATCTGTAGGATCAACATTTTTTGGTCAGCTGGCTGCATCAAGCAATATTTTAAGGATGTGTGCATTAACTGTTAAAGATTGAAGTAGAATTTTCATGAAATTCGGGTTCTGAAGGATTAAGATAAGCGAACACCAAACAGTGAGTTTTGAAGCACCATTTGAAGTGTTGTGACAGGAGCACTGATTGCCTTTGAATTCAGCTGAACCTTATATTTTAATGAGATTTATTATGTAGCCATGCCTATTAAGAAGGAATGGTTTCTTGTATTCTCCACCTTTTATATGCAGAATTTATTCAATGCTGATTGATTTCAGTTTTAGTAACTAGCTTACTAGCCTGATTCCATTTGGAACATGCAGTACCAAGAGCAATCGTGGAACTGCATTTGTGGGAATGCAAACATATAGTTTAATTTCCATTTTGTTGTGTATCACCATGTCTGGTTGATTAACTGCAATGTATGTTTAAATTCGTTTATTTTTTGAAATGGTGTTCATGGATCAACTATAGCATAACTGAATTCATTGTGCTAACTCAGTGGACAAATACACATCTTCGGTTGTAGGAAACAATATGGCAATTGTGGAGACGATATAGTGCCAACATTTTTTTAAGAGTGGTTTCTACAGGGGTCTTGTTGAAGGAACCTGACAGTATATTAGAAAAAGATTGTGCTGAAACTGAGAATAGAGGTGGTTTGTTATCCTATTTTGTACTATCAATCAGGCTTCCCTGGCCCCTGCTGCTCTTGTTATGTCCAGCATCATCAAGCAGTTCCCAGAGAAAATCGGGATTTTGCCCTAATGGGAGGTGGGCTTCGCCCAAATGCCATCAATTTTGTGGGCTTCGCTGAAATGCCTTTATGAAACGAGTCCAACACGCTATAATGCCATTTCGAGGTTTAAGTGGACTTTAAAAATTTGAGCCAAAATTTAAGCCTTCAGTGACCATTTTGCCCCTGAGGTCGCTGACCTATTCCCTGCGCTCTCCTCTCTCCCCCTCTCGCTGTTCTCTCGCTGGAGTGAAAGGCAGAGCGTCGCCCCCCACCCTCGCGCCGCGCCCCCGGGCCGAGCCTCGCTGCCGCCATCCGCCCCCAAGACGCTCCCTGCCCCAGGCGAAGGCTAGCCCGCCGGCGCCGCCTAGAGCAAGTCCCTGCTCTCCCCGTCGCTGGATCTGCGGCCGCTGCTCCTGGCCGTCCGGGTGCTCTTCCCCAGGCGAAGGCGGCCCCAGCCAAGCCGCCCGTCCACGCCAGGCCGTCGTCGCCCGACCGCGCGTCACCAGGCCAACCCTGCAGAACTAAGGTGAGGCTTCAAGGCGCCCTTATTGAGGATTGATTTGTGGATTCAATGGGTATAGTGTTAACTTAGGGTTTTACAGGAGTAGAAAACAGTGACTCTCTTATGTGCTTGTGGTATGGATTGCAATCGGAGTGTAGTTACCGGGTATGCATCATTATTTACTCTTTGTTGTATGGTATGCGTGGATCTCGTATACGTGTAGTGTTCTAACTCTGTAATGGGTGTTTTTTAGGCTCGATGCGGAGCCTGAGCTTAGTTTAGTGTCTATAGATGGTGGCATTCTAGAACAGCCACGGGGACATGTCGTTAATTGGGATGAATTACGGATTGAGGAAAGGCAAGATGATGAAGGGGAAGGAAGGTTAGAAATTATCGATGAGGATGAGCTGTATCGTTTGCTGGGCCTGAGAACCGATGATGATCATGGCCAGGGTGCTGCTGATGGTACTTCAAATGAGGATCAGGCAATCGCAAACAATGGTAGTACAGTCCCTGATGTTGACACTAGTGGTGCAGCTATCCCTGTTGATGATGCAATACCGGAGGAGAGGGTGATGGTGTATGACCCTAACAAACCATGCATGGATATTGGCACTGTGTACCCCAACATGGTTGAGTTTAGATTGGCGGTGAGGCAGTTTGCCATTAATAAAGAGTTTGCACTACACACTGTGAAAACAGACACATAGAGGTTTATTGGGAAGTGCATGGCACCAGATTGCCCTTGGCATATTAATGGTCGAAAACAACGTCATTCAAAAACTGTTATGGTATAAAGAATTTTTTTTGTTATATGAATATGACTTCTTTTTTTAAGTAATGGTAATGTTCTAATTTATGTAACAATGCAGGTTACATCTCTGATTGATCAACATAATTGTTCATCCAGTGCGAGAAGACTTACTACTACACCCACTGCTGCCTGGGTTGCTTCAAGGGGTATCAAGCACCTCAGGAAGGACCCAAATATGGGCACAAAAGAATTGAAGAAGCAGCTGCAAGACGACCACAAATGTGAGATTCACTATGACATCGTTTGGAAGGGGAGGCAGATTGCAATGAAAGAGTTGTTTGGTAGCTGGGAGGAAAGCTTCCAAATGTTGTACAATTGGAGGGCAGAGGTTCTGAAGCACTCACCAAACAGTGTCATTGAGATTGACATCAAGATGGTTGATGGCAAGGTACACTTTCACAGGTTTTGTGCTTTAAGTCCTTGTATTGAGGGTTTTCTAGAGGGATGTAGGCCTTACCTTAGTATAGACTCCACTGCATTGAATGGTAGATGGTGTGGACACTTAGCAGCAGCCACTGCTCTAGATGGACACAATTGGATGTATCCTGTTGCATTTGGTTTCATAGATGGTGAGACAACAGAAAATTGGGAATGGTTTATGACTCAGTTGCATAAGGCCATAGGAGACCTACCTGTTCTTGCTATTTGCACTGATGCATGCAAAGGTCTAGAGAAAGCTGTTAAAAATGTGTTTCCTCATGCTGAACATAGAGAGTGTTTTAGGCATCTTATGCATAATTTCATTAAGAAGTTTGGGGGTGATGTTTTTTCGAAGATGTATCCTGCAGCTCGAGCATATAGAGTTGAAGTATTTCAATATTTCTTCAAATTTGTTAGAGAGGCTAGTGATCAAGTGATGGAATGGCTTGACAATCATCATAAATTGTTGTGGATGAGAAATGCATTTAACCCTGAAATCAAGTGTGATTATATAACCAACAACCTTGCTGAATGTTTTAATAATTAGATCAAGGACTAGAAGGACCTTCCTGTAGTTGAGCTTGCTGATAAAATTAGGGAGATGCTAATGGTATTGTGGAGGAAGAGAAGGTAGATTGGACAAAAGCTTAATGGGAGAATTTTACCTACAGTCATACGTCAGCTGAAAATGAGAACCAGAGGCTTGGGTCACTTGACAGTTATCACCTCTGATAGTGTGGCTGCAGAGATATGGGAAATTAATAGCATCCATAATAGGCATGTAGTGAAGACTTATCTCCGTGAGTGCACATGCCTTGAGTGGCAACACACTGGTAAGCCTTGTCAGCATGCTTTGGCTTTGATTACAGCCCAATAAACTGTGGATGTGGATCTTGAGGGATTTGTCCATGACTACTATTCAGTGGAAAATTTCAGAAATGCCTATAAGAGATTAATAGAGCCACTCCCAGATAAAACTCAATGGCCACATGTGCCACTTCCATTTACAGTTGGGGCACCATTGGACAAAAAGGGTGCTGGGAGGTATAGGAAGCTGCGGATAAAAGGATGCCTTGAGGGAAGAACTGGTGGAAAAGGAAAAAAGGCTGCCAAGCAGGCTGATAAAGCTGCTGAAGAGGAGGCTATGCAAGCTGCTAAACCTAAAAGGCAATTGGCAAAAGGGAAAAGAATGTGTAAGGGTGTGGAGAATTGGGTCATGGAGAAACAAGCTACAAGTGCCGCCTAAATGGGACAAAGAAAAGGTACTGATTTCTTTAGTTTTGTAACTTACATCTACTAAATAGGACAAACAAGTGCCTAAATTGTTCTAACTTGCAGGAAAAGGAAGCCTAGGACAAATACAACCAAGTATGGAAAGAATGGTAAAAAAGCTGCTGGAAAAAATCTTGTACAGTCTGATAATGGTGATGTACAGGCTGAGACTGCTGCTGTACAGGCTGATACTGCTGCTGTACAGTCTGAGAATTGGGCTGTACAGGCTGAGAATTGGGCTGATACTGCTGCTGTGCTGCCATAAGTTGTTGCTGTATAGTCTCAAGATGTTGTCGTCTAAGCTGAACAAGTTGCCACAACTAAGGCCACTCTTTTGTCAACAAGTCCAGAAAAGTTGACTAGAAGGTATTTCATGTTTCTAGAAAGCTAAACTTACTCTTTCATGAATTATTTCATCTTTTGTCAACATTTCTTTCATGTTGCAGCCGACTAGCTGTACTACTTGGAGAAGGGCCAAGTACATTGTTAAATAAGCAGCCTACAACTTCAGCAAAACCAAAGAAGGTACTACATTTATCGTCAAACAAGCAGGCTACAACTTCACCAAAACCAAAGAAGGGAATAGCGAAGAAGTTGATTCCAAGGAAGTTGACGACGAACTGAGATGTGAACATGTAATGAGCTGGCTTTTGAAAAACTCTGCTGTAATGAGCTGCCTATGTATGAGCTGGCTTTTGAAAAACTCTACTGTAATGTATGTGGACATGTAATGCTGACTGTTGTAAGGTATTGTGTGAACCTTTATGAACCTTTATGGAATGTTATTGGTCCTTTATGAAATCTTCTTTGATTTTGGTTAGTTGAGCTATCAAGTAATGTTTTTGTTGTACTTGCATTCTGATAAAGTGGTAATATATGATTAGTTGACAGAATGTGTATGAGTTGTATAGTACCTGTGTATGAGTAGTTGACAGAATGCATGTCTCTGTTGTATGAGTGTATGAGTAGTTGACAGAATGCATGTCTATGTATAGTAACTGTGTATTAGTTGAGCTATCAAGTACCTGCTGCTGGTGCCAGAATGCAGGAAAATGGATGACCCTTAGTTGACAGAATGCATAACAATGGATGACAGCATGCAGGAAAATGTGGCATAACAATGGATGTTTGTTTGTCAGAATTAAAAAAGCAGTACAGACCTTGTTTCATATGAGGTAAAAGAGATGGTTTTCAAGGATAACTTTCAAGAAAAACAACAGAACAAAGATGTCATTGTAGATCCTGCTCCTCATGAAGTTGATTCTTTTCCTAGTACTGATAATCACAGGGAACAGATTGAAGAACTCATTGCAATATGACATTTTATTACCACAGAGGAACCAACGGTGTTGTACAAAGATAAGTGCTGTACTGTGCTTCTGAAGATATCAGTCCATGAAAGACAGAGGAACCAACAGTCCTAGAACACAATCTTGCTTCACTCGCTAAAGCTAATTAATCAGTACTCATACAACATAGTTCTACAACACAATCTTGCTTCACTTGCTAATAAGCACTACCACACCTAAAAGAACTATGACAGTCATGACTAAACAGAGCACCACCAACAGCTGGACCAGATCGATAAGCTTGTCCATCTTAAGATAGATCCTATCTTTATCAAAAATCCTGCTTTTAAGCTTCATTTCTTCTTGACATTTAGTTTCACCATGACCTTCTAATGGCACTGCAGCTAGCAAATCTTCTTTAAGCTTCTTTACGACTACTTTCTTGTACTCTTCCAACCACCTAAAGAATGGACATTTCTTCAATGCCTGTGGAAATGACAATACGTAACATAGTTTATTTATCCAAACCTTGACACAATACCTAGTTCAGTTCTATATGACAATAAACAACAGAGCAATATATACTCACAAATTCATTGTAGTTTACGCATTTGAAGAAAATTCTGCCGTTGTTCTTCCAGGATTTGCATTCCACTACTCTGTCACCACATTCTGGGCATGGAATCAGGGGGATCCCACTAGGGCCAAGTGGATACAGAGAAACGGCACCTGTTGAGATGAACGACGAACTAGACGAACCCTCACCCATAGCCTGGTGTGACACAGGAGGCGCTTGGGGTTCGGTGACGCCATGTGATCGAGCGACAACGGACTGGCTGCATGGACGGGCGGCAAATTGGGCCGCCGCCGCTGGGAAGAAACACCGGACGGCCAGGAGCAAAGGCCGCAGATCCAAGAACTGAGAGAGCGAGGACTGCTCTAAGCGCCAGCCGGTGAGCTAGCCTTCTTCAAGGGGCAGGGAGCGTCTTGGGGGCGGATGGCGGCGGCGGCGAGGCTCGGCCCGGGGGCGCGGCGCGGGGGTGGGGGGCGGCGCTCTGCCTTTCACTCCAGCGAGAGAACAATGAGAGGGGGAGAGAGGAGAGCGCAGGGAATAGGTCAGAGACCTCAGGGGCAAAATGGTCACTGAAGGCTTAAATTTTGGCTCAAATTTTTTTAAAGTCCACTTAAACCTCGAAATAGCATTATAGCGTCTTGGACTCATTTCATAAAGGAATTTCAGCAAAACCCACAAAATTGATGGCATTTGAGCGAAGCCCACCTCCCATAAGGACAAAATCTCGATTTTCTCGCAGTTCCCATGGCACCTGCATTTTTGTTTCGGAAAGTTTTTTGAGCAGTAGGCAAAGACAAAGACTGAACGCAAGGCACCCTTGCCGTGGTTTCTCTTTCATCCACGGCCCGTCCGCCTCCCATGCTCGCATTCTCGCACAGTCGGACTGCAGCCAGCGGGCAGCGGCGCACGAGTGAACACACATCCTGCTGCGGGGCCTGTTGATTGGCGACGCCGGCGACGATCTGCAGCGGCGGGGGTTTTTCCTCTTCCGGGCCGTACGAGAGCTGAGCAAGCAATCAAGTGAGTCTCGATCCCCCGAAACCCCAGAGAAAAATAAGTGCAGTGAATCCAATCGGGTCCTCAACCCAATCGCAGGTTCGGCCGCGCCTGCTGCTCGGGATGGAGGAAGGTGGGAGCCGCCGGGCGGCCGTCCTCCCGGACGAGCTCATCGTCGAGATCCTCGCGCGGCTGCCGGCCAAGTCGCTTTGCCGCTGCAAGTGCGTGTCGCGGGCCTGGCGGACCCTCATCTCCGATCCGGACCACCGCGGCAGGTTCGCGCAGACGCTGTCGGGGCTCTTCTTCTCCCGTCACCGCGGCAGCCACCCGCCCTGGCCCCGTGGATTCGTCGGCCTGCCCACGTCTCCGCCTGGGGTCGATACGGCTCTCTCCTTCCTGCCCGCCCCCGCCCCCCCCCCCGCCCCCCACCTGCTGGGACATGGATCTGCTGGACTCTTGCAACGGGCTGCTCCTCTTGCGGTGCCAGGACACAAGGGAACGGCCTTCACCACCGCCCTTCTACGTCGTGTGCAATCCGGCCACCGGGGAGTGGGTTGCAGTGCCCCAACCGAGGCACACCCCGGGGCTGTACGGTCCACCGGATACCTGCTCCGCAGCGCTAGGCTTTGATCCAGCGGTCTCCACAAGTTTCCATGTGTTTCAGCTGGTGCAGGAGTGCTACTTCCACAAGGGCTTGTTCTTTGTCGTGGCAGTGGAGATCTACTCATCCGAAACTGGCAGATGGGTTTTCAAGGAAAACAATGACATGTGGGTTCATTGGGACATCCGCTTCTCCGGACAGATGACCTTTTTCGGTGGCTTCCTACATTTCTGCAACGTCTCCAATGCTGCTGTCATCTCGGTGGACACAGAGGTGCAGGCATGGAGGATCTCCCATGTACCGCACAATGTAAGTTATGGTGGCCTCTTTTCTATTGGCATGCGGCACAATGCAAGTTATGGCCGTTCCTCTACCATCAGCCACTCTCAGGGGCGCCTGCTTTATGTGTACGATAATGGTTGGCAGGATCATGACCTGTCAATCTATGTTCTTGAGGATCAGGACAGCGAGGAGTGGACATGGATCCTCAAGCAAAGCATCGACAAGCCGAACCTATTTGGACCACGAGGGGGATGGGACTACTGCATAACTGCATTTCATCCAAATGCCAATTTGGTTTTCTTCTATGATTGGAAGCAGAAAACACTGATGGTCTATGATATGAAACACAAGGATGTGCATGTTATCTGTACTCTTGGAGAAGTGGTCAAGATTGAACTTGATTTAAGGTGCAATGTGCATCGCCCGTTTCTACCATATGTTCCATTATACACAAGGGCATTAACATCACCTAGTGTCAACTAGGATTGCTCAGATTTGTCATTGGTTTCTTTAGAAGGGTATACTGGACTAAACTGAATCTCCATGTCTTTGTGCCAATCAGTAGATAAATGGCACATATTTTTGTCTTCATACCATGTTGCTTAGAAGCCTTAGATATGAAGACCGTTTAAGATTGGCAAATAATTTTGTCTTCAGATCATGCTGCTTAGATATGAATCCATGTAAGCTGACATTCCAAGTGGTTTCTAGCTTGATTGATCAATTGAGTTTCGTGTTGGAGGAGCCATTCTTTGTTGTGATTGGCTGGTTTGGGGATCGAGTGATATTTTGTCCTTAAAGATGGAAATGAGTATACCATTCTTCTATCTGCGATTTTTATGACTTATGAGCACTACAATGTTTTTCTCAGTTATCAGCTGCATCAGGCAATATCAAAGATGCATCAAGACTGAATTATGATCCTCAGACAGGCATGTGTTTCTAAAACGCACTATTTCAAGATTAGCGATGTAGTGGATGAGGACTTTTTGCCTTTGAATCATGCCAGCAATATATTTTTTGCTGATAATTATACTGTTCTGGAACTGTACAAGTTTTTATTGTTACTGATAAGGATGTAATGAATTTAGAAAGCAAGTTATCTGTGAACAAGTGTTGACTTCTGTCATTTGTCTGCCTTTTTATGTTGATTTTTATGCAGTAGGGCTGAATAATTTCCAAGTAACTATTCTGAATGCACCTGGAACATTTAGTAGGACTGACCTTGTAGCAATGCAAACATGTTTTATTTTTGTTTTTTTATGTGCACATATCTAGTGCTGTCAACTGCGATGCTTGGCCAAATTTCTTTTTTTTTTCTTTTCTTTTTGAAACGACCAGCAGGAGTTCTACCCGGCATAGAGGAGAAGAGTGAGTTTAAACATGAAATAGAAGCTCAATAAGGAGGGAAAAATCATAAAGTCAAAGAGCTCCACTAGAGGACTACTCTCTCGAGATAATCTCCTTGAGCCTCAGGTTCTTGCTTCCTCCTTGATTTTCGCAATTAGGCTTTCCGGTTGTGTTATCAATAGATTTGAAATGATATCAATAGATTTAGATGTTTCTGGTTGTGTTATCATGTGTTCTAACAGTGAAACATCTTGTGTTGCAATGAGTGAGGCAGTGAGCCATGTGAACATAATTCCATTCCTTGTGATGGTCAACATACTCATGCCCGCATTTTTCACTTGAAAGAGTGGCTACAAGTTACTATCGGAGTATATTGTTGCAGAAACCTGCCAGTACTTGACAACTTGTTGGGCCCGTTTGTTAGAGCTCCCAGAGCTGATTTTCTGCTGAATCCAACAGGAGCTTTGTCAAACAGTTTTTCAGAGAGAAGTGATTCTCTGCTGATTCCGTGAAATGATTCTCTGAAATGAACTAGGAGGCTGAGAGCTGGAAAAAAATAGCTTCTCCTGATTCTGTCAAGTGATTCTCCGTCATGATTTCAAGAGTTTATGCTAAAGAATCAAAGAGAATCACTTTCAAACACAGAATCACTTCTCTCAGAGAATCAGCCATAGAGAATCAGAATCAGGTGGTGCTCTACCAAACAGGCCCTTGGTTTTATTCACTCTGGATTAACCATTGACTGCCATGATATGATTTTCTACCTAGAGAATCATCGCTAGGAAACATGCCAAAAATACGAGGAATGGAGACCTGTTTGTAGCAAACGGCTGGCTGGTGGGCCCATCCATCCCTGCCTTAATATTAACTTTCTTCTCCGTCGCTTCCAGAAGCTATTAGGATAAAGTGAATTGTAGAAGGTAAATTGACTCTAAGATAAATAGAGAAGATAAATATATTAAAACTTAAGTCTTATAAAGGGAATGATACAAGAGCTCTACCTGATTTCAAAGATTTGAAATGATACAAGAGCTCTACCAGATTTCAGAGAATCTTTGGGAACCTGAGGCAAGATTGACTCATTTCTAACTCACAACTACTGCAGCCAAACAACTATATAAAGTAAAGAGCATGTAGCTTGATCATTCTTGTTGTGTGTTCTTACTCTTTATTTTTTCATCTAGTTTCTAGGCCTATATGCATAGTTGTAATCCTAGTCGCGGTGACTAGAATCATTAGTGGGAAGATGGCGAGTGAACGCAGTAAGCGATTGCGCAGGTAGCATAATAAGTTGTGTAAGCTAGCCATTATATTAATGGAGGTAACAACACCTTTATCGATAGTGAGATGTTGAGCTTTTTAAAGGGGAGAGTGGGCATAGGCCTTTTTTGGGGAGTAGGACAAGATCAAAGGGTGTAAGAGCACCCTTAATACAATAGCTTTGATGTATGCCTTGCCAGACCAACTAGGCTCGGGCCCTGTTTAGTTCCACCAAATTTCCAACTTTGACACTATGCAAAAAGAAGATTTCCCGTCACATTAAACTTGCGGTACATGCATGGAGTACTAAATGTTGATGAAATCAAAAACTAATTGCACAGTTTGGTTGTACTTTGCGAGACGAACATTTTGAGCTTAATTAGTCAACGATTAGACAATTATTACCAAATAAAAACAAAACGACACTGTAGCTACACTGTGCGTTTGGCGGCGCCAATTCGGCCCAACTAAACGTGGCCTCGGATAAAAAAGTGAATGTTCTGTGGGTGGCAGTAGTACCTGCAGAAGCTACAGTAGCCTCCGGAGAGAAGACAGCGACCATAAGAATTGTAAGGCTGTGTTTACTTCCTAAAAACTTTTCCAAAAAGTGATACAGTATCTATCACATTGAATCTTGCGATACGTGTATGGAGCATTAGATATAGACGAAAAAAAAACTAATTGCACAGTTTGGTTGGAAATCGCGAGACGAACGTTTTGAGCCTAATTAGTCTATGATTGAACAATAATTGTCAAATAAAAATGAAAGTGCTATAGTAGCCAAATTCCCAAATTTCACGAGCTAAACACAGCCTAGGAGAAAAAGTGGAGAGGAGAGAAAGAGTTGTAGGGGCAACAAAAATATGCTTGTGTTGGATAGATAGTAGCTTAAAGTTTTCATTCCTACTTGGACCTACTACTAGTATATGCTTGCATTGGCCTGTATTGTGATTTTCATTCCTATTTGGACCTACTACTAGTGTAATATGCTTGCATTGGCATGTATTGTGGGCGTAAAAGCTTGGAGGTTGCTGCATAAGGAGGGGACATTTTAAATTGAGCGAGAGTTGTTCAAGTACGGTAAGGCTTAGCTTCCCTTTTCTCTCTCCCTTAAAATCTCCTATAGGGGATTGAGAAAACTGATTTGGAGTTTATAGGGGAGGCCTGATGTAGCATGCTGAGAAAACTCATCCCCGTTACATATGTGGGACCCCTATGTCAGTGGCACCTCCCTCCTTTCCTTTTCCTCTTCCTCTTTTCTCTTTCCTCTCCCTCCATCCTCTGTCTCGGTTCACGGGCATGACGGAACCACCGCTTAGCTTGCTCGCACGCCGGCCAAGGAGCGACGTGGCCAGCTTGCTCGCTCACCCGCTTGCCGGCAAAGGAGCGACATGGCCAGCTTGCTCGCTCGTCCGCTCATCGGTCAAGGGCAGCAAAGCGCCCCAACCAAGCTCGACCGGCATAGCGGCGGTGCTGCGGGCCGCGCGCTCACCTACCTAGCGCGGCGGCAGTGCGTCCGGCCCGTGATCTCATTCGCCTGGCGCGGTGGCGGCGTGGTGACCAGCGTGCTCGCGGCGATGACAGTGGACCCGCGACATCAGTGAGATGAGGAGAAAGAAAGGGGTTTGAGAAAACTGGTGGTTGTTCCCCTTCATTTGAGGATTGAGGTGGGAATTCGAGGGATTGAGAAAAAAGTTTAGGGAAAGGAGATCTGGTGGACAATGTATTTTTTCTTCAATCCCCTTTATTGCTGGTTTTAGGGAAAGAGGATTAATTTTACTCCATCTTAACACATTAAAACGTGTTGCAATCTTTACCCACACCCACTGACGTGTAACTAGTGGCGCTTGCCACCGCTCGTTCCTTGGACCATGTGTGAAAGTCCCAACAACAGATCAACAACACTGTAAAGAAGCTACTGTAGGCAAAGAATGTTGTTTATTATCTAATCTAAGCTCACCTGTCTCATTTATTCTTTGAGTTCGATATAAATCTTGAAATGTTGCCAAGGAAAAAAATATTATGACATAATTCTGCACTTGCAATATAAGTAGATTTGCATTTTAATACCAACACCTATGCCTACAAATGGGTTGAGTTGAAATAGGTTTAATGGGTTGAGTTCTTAAATGTGTACACTTTGAATGGATTGGAATGGGTTTGGGGTTTCTATATATTGTATAGTATACATATCTATTAGTTTAAAATGGGTTGAGTCATTGAATGTACTGCTCTCTATGTCATGTGATACAGTGCATTCTAAGAATTTTAAGACATATTAAGAGAGAACATAAAAGACGCATGTAGCCTCATTCTATTTCCTAATCGAACGCCATCATCAACATGATTAATGGTGATTGGTTGATAAATAAAAATTATTTAATGTAGAACTATTTTTTTCCCTCTAGAATGCATTATATTCGAGGATAAATTTTGAATGCTAGAATATGACAGGACGGAGGAAGTAGATGTTAAAGCTAATAGATTACCTTGATGTTACTAAAAAAAGATTACCTTGATGTGGGACCCACATGTTCATCTAGCTATGAGAATTGGCACTACGTAGCTTCCTATTGCATTAAATTATATTTAGCAAATTTTAGTCCGTTTTGTTAAAATTTTAACATTTGACGCGAGATTTTAGTTTTAAGTCGCTTTTTTTTAGGCCCACAAGTAGATCTTGCCATGTTAATTGGTACAAAATAGCTTCATATCATTTTGAATCATATCAAATAAATTTTATTCAATTTCGTAAAATTTTAAGGTGTAAACATAGACTTTTAGTTTTAGGTTTCGACTTTTAACGTGGGATCCACAGGTAGATCTTGCTATGCTAGTTGGCACAGAGTAGCTTCATGCCATTTTGATTCATA